CAGATTAAGTAATGTTAAATCTAGGATTAATTAGTATTAAATTAGTGATGATTAATTCATTAATTCAATTATTTAATTTCTATAATTTAATTTGAATTGCTAAAATTTCAATTGTGAAATTGTAGAAATTATGTAAATTTTAAAATTGTGAAAATTTCAATTGCAAATTTTTGAAATTGCGAAAAAATTAAATCATTCTTTGAATTATTGAATAATGCATAAAAATTATATATTTGCCAACTTATTAAATGCTAACATATTTTAATATAATTTTATATAAGGAAAGTTTTATTGTAATTTTTGTTTCTTTAATTTTCAATATTAATAATTTTTAAATTTATTCATAACAAATAACAAATTCCAAATATACCTATTATAATTGAATAGTCTGATGAAGAAATGCAATATTTAGTTAACTTAAGAAGGGAAAAATTATGATTAATAAAGAAGGTTTAAAAGATCAAAATTACTATTTTAAAATAAGATTATGATGCAAATACAGAAAGATTTATGATAGTATTAATAAATTACAGGCAAGAAAAAAATTTAAAGAATGGTTATAGATTATATAGTAAGTAGTAAAAGAATAATAATATTTATATTAATTGTATTTACAATAATATTTTAATAATTTTAATTTTTTAGTTATTTGAATTATATGCCAATAAGATATGAAAGAAAAGTGAATGTATATTAGAGAAGTATTTGAAGAACAATTTGAAACCCCATTTTAGAAAAGATTAAGTTAGAATAATAAAACTTTTTGATTGATATTAATTAAAGAAATCATTATTAAAATTTGTTTTTTAGTATTTTGAGTTCAAGAAAAAAGGCATGTAAGATTAACCGCCAGAAATCAAAGTAAGAAATTTATTTAGTTTAATATCAATATTATTTAATATAAATATAATTTTATTTTTTAAAATCATCAACTTCTCTTTCTAGCAATTTTTCTCAACCTAAAATACAAATTAACCTATAAAAATCCATTTTTTATATGTATTTCTAACTATTTTTGCTCTTTTTTCAACTATTATCACTTTTTTTCATCTTCATAATTTTTTATAACTAGTCCCTCTTTTTTTTATTTATTCATTATCTTTGCTTATCCCTTTTTATATTAATTTCAGTTTTTTATTATAATTTTTTTTTTGAATTTTACTAAAAAAATCTGAATGAAACTTGTCACCTCTATATAGTGTTTAGAATCAACATTTATTTTATAATATTATTTCTAAAATTTTCTCTAATTATGATAAGTAAATTTTAATGTAAAAGATTTAGCTTTTTACAAACCTTAAAATATTAAAAAATATATTTTTTTAAAATAGAATAAGGTGAAGCTTATGATATCTTCTTTTTTAGTAAAGAGTTATTGAATCATCTATTTGAGGTTTATTAACAAGTCATTTTGAATAGACATTTAATTTTTGGATTGATATTCTTTTTTCTTTTCCAAAATATTTTCTAAACCTTTATCTAAATTTCTTCTAAACATCACTTTTTTTTTTAATTGATATTATTCCTTCAATCAATAAATCATATTCAGTTTATCATACGAATTCAGTTAAACCTTCATCATTTAATACCTTTAATAAGAATCATATCAATGAAAGCAGTATTTATAGTATTATAACCATGATTAAAAACTATAAAAATTTAACCTAATGTTACTTTATTAGTTTTTAACAAAGTTATAATAACAATAACACTTATATTCAAAATTTATTACTTGGAGATTTATTTCTCATCCATTGGATTAATTTACCTTGTATCTGGATTGTATAAAAGTGGTAAATTTCATGTAATGTTACCTAAAGTGTGATCTAAATTGTTAAAATCAATATATGCCAATTTAAAAAAGCCTTAAAACTGTAATATGTAACACACAAACAAATGCCTTAGTATATAAACATATGACTCAACATAATAGTTCCTAATCTTCACCTATTCAATAAATATAACATTTCTAATACTGTAGGAAGGAGTTTGATATTCATATATTTTTAATCGAAATAAAAAAACTAAATGCTGGATCATTAGTGAGTCGTCAATAAATCAAGGTCTGGTCGATGTTAAGTCTATGATAGGTTAATTTTCCCAAGTTAGAATTAAAAAGTTGTTGAGTAAGTATAGTAATAGTACCAGAGGCTTATTTGCTCGAGAGTTTAGTTTAAATAAAAATGTCGCTATATATTGGACTCGAATTATCTTATTGCCATAGCGATGATTTTTAACATCTCTTCGGTTGATGTTTAATCCGAAAAAATTGCTTCGGCTATTGCTATATCCGATGGAATATGTTATCTTATTACTGATATCTTAATTATTTTTCACATTCTCTATAAAACATTCTCTTGGGAATTTTAGCTTATTTTCTTATATGGCTGGTGCAAGTTAGAATTAAAGATCTTAGCGGGTTATTAATTAAATTATATTCATGTCCAATTCTTTTGGTGAAGCTACTATCTTTTATAAAGAAAGCAAAATGCTTTTCTATCTGTTTTTATAATTTTCAATAAAATGTGTTGGTAAATGTCGAAATTCCTTACCATTAATTTCATAATTGTATCTTACACTATTGATATTTGGCAGTTTAATATACTATCAGAGCCTTTTATCTTTAGATAAATTTTTACGAAAGTTAATTTGTACGATTATTTAAAATAAAATAATATGAACCCAAAATAATTTTATTTAAGGCATCAATTATAATATTCATGATGGTTAAACTTGATGATGCAATTCTTTTGACCGGAGAGACGCGTTAATATTACAGTATATATATTCCAAGAATATCTAAAGAATGAAACCCAGTAAGAAAATACTAATTCTCAAAGTCAGATTATTTAAATTATGCAAGCATGTACTGTACAACGGGTTTATAGCTCCTAATATTTGCTAATTACTTGAAATAAAGTAATGAGAATGGAAATTTGTATAATTGGTTTAAAGATTCTAACAAATAAAAACTAGCCACTTTATGTTATTTTAGGCAAAAAGAAATCATGTTACAGTAAAAAAGGATTGGGCCGACTAAGTAGAAGACTAAAATTAATACCTTTTTAAATAATATCTTACCCTAAAAAAAACCTTTATTTAGATTAATCAATGGAAAATAAGAATTTATATATATATTGTATATTCCTAATTTTTAAATAAAAAGATTTTAAAGAAATAAATAATTTAATAATCAAATTGAATTAAGATCAAATATTTTGAGAAGTAAGTCTTCGCATTCAAATTTAAATATTATTTTTCAACGTTTTTTCTTTTTGTATTTTGATCATAAGTTTCGTGCTTCTCTATAATCATGTCTACTAAAACTTTGATTTCTTGTCCAAGGAAATTGTCCACCAAGTATTTTGAATTTCTTCTTACGAAAATGGTGTCAAATTGCTTTATTGTCCGAAGCGTAAGCGTAGGACATTTCCTGAAACTATGCATGTGGTGTCTGATCTGCCAATCACAATTTTTTCATTTATTTAACTATTTAAAAAAGATCAACGAGCGCAATTATAGAACATGATTAAATTATTCTAATAAAGTTAGAAATTGATAATTTTTAATTTAGTAATACAGACATTTTTTTAATTAATCGTATTTTTAACTTATAAATAAACAGTATTAAAGATATTTTTATGTTGATTAACGCTTCGGACGCTCCTAACGGTTCCCGTTACCTAGTTTATAAATATGATTGAAAAGTAAAAGATTACATCTTCCTAGATTCTGTATCTTTTTTTTTAATAATTATTTATTAAAAAAAAAAAATAACAAAAACTAAATGAGGATTCCTATTTGCTGGACGGTTTAGGTAATTTGTTTTCAGTTATACAGCTACATTATCCGTTGTTTACTTTATTGAAAAATAAAAGTAGATCCAAGCGCGAATCTGACGAGAATTTTTTAATTTCAATTAAGAGTTAAATTATTTTTCTAAAAAAAAATTTAGACGATTTTATTAATTAATAATCAAAAAAAGTGAAAAATACGGTATATTTTTTAATTCATAAAATCAATTAGACTCATAAGATCTATCCCGATCATATATTCAAGTAATTTCCTAAAAACATCCTGAATTTGAGTTTTATTTTAGGCGTTGACCGCAACACTTCGACATTATGAACCTATTACAGTATTACATACTCACACAAATGATAACAAGATATGTATAGACAAATCTCTTCACAAGCAAAAACTGGCGTTCCTAAAGTGCATAAAATCTATAATTACGTCCTCCTAAGTCATTTCCTAAAAAGGACCGGATCGGAGCAACAACTTCGATCCGTTTCATCTCTCACAAAGGACAAATCCAGGGGCTTGCTAAATAACAATCATGCTTTAATAATTTATTTTTAATAATGTATAAGTAATAATTAAATAACTATAATGGTTCTATAAGAAAATAACAGTTTATCAACATTTTTAGTGGAATTATACAGTTCAGAAAGAAAAAAGAACTTTCTTGGGATAGTAATATTAATAATAAAATAAAAATATTAAGAATTCGGCGATCAGAAAAAATATAGCCATTTTCTTTTTTTCGATAATGAAAAGTTGAGTGAAAAATAATTTAATCAGGTGATAAAAGTCTTGATTTAATTTAATTAAAAAGTTTTATTTACTTACTTTTTGATGTAATGAGATTACCTTTTTCGTAATATTCCGATTAAAATAATTTTTCCCTTGTTTCCGAAAGGATAGATATGATTTATTTTTTCAAATCTTCGATCAAGAATAAATAAATCATAATAATAACAATGATTAATTATATTATGGCTGTGTAGGCATTTTATCTTAGATTTTTTCCCTTATAAAAAGCATAGCCACATTCGGAAAGAGATTAATTAAGGATCATAAATCTTGATTTAAAGAAAAAAAAATTGGTTTCTTTTTTTTTTTTGTTGTTTTGATTTTTCGCATATTTAGTCAAATTTCAAAAGAATATCATTTGTAATTTGTACATTTCATTTTTTTATTTTTATTTTTTCTGAATTATGTGTCAATATGATGAAAACGATGATAAATATGTTTATAATGAAGATTGCTTAGAAAATTTTACGCAAGAAGTAAATTACATTGCAGAAAATGATGGGAAAGTAAAAACGGAAAAGTACGTTCCTGGTACAACCTATAAAGAACTCACTATCGCGGACGAAAAAGTTTCATCAAATCAATCAAACGATCATCATCCAGGATTCTTTCAAAAGACTTCAACAAAAGTTTTTTTTACTATAGCCATAATATTTGCCTTAATTATTGGGATCATAATAATTTACTACATTAAGCGTAAGCGAAGGAGGAGAAGGATTGGGGCTCCCAGCAGAACGCCCCGTGACCGTAAAATTAAAAAAAAAGGTGGTAAAATTATAAAAAATACTCCGCATTCAATGAAATTCCTTGGAGTAGAAGACCCCCCATTATCCCATATATCTACAACCTCTCATAGGGATAAAAATATCAAGAATAAATTACCATATATTCCTTCAACAGGAACTACCACACCGTCTCAGGTTCCGTCTCAAACGTCTCAAACTCCACGATCAGAAAGTTCAAGCAGCACGCAAGATAATTTAACGCGAGTGAATGATTATTTTGCATCTACAACGCTTTATCAAAATAAACAAGAAGGTTCTTCACAAGATTTCACGACATTGGATACTCAAAGGGAACAACGGGATGAATCCGCATCATATTCAAGTTCGCACAGAGATCAAAGTCCTCGTGGAAGGCCTCGTTCTTTAGACCCTACTGGAAGAGTTCCTTTACAGTCTCGATCTCCTTCAGAAGTTCGAAGATTTTAATATTGTATAACGGGATGCAACTCGGAATATATGATACATTTCTACTTTTTAAATGAATTTTTTTTTTTCTTTTTCTTTCCTGTACTTCCCAAAATTATCTTCCAACCACTTTTAAGTGTGTTTTATCATCGAAATACATATAGGAACGTTACCAATAAAATCAAGTCATAAGATATATACTGTAGTAAGTCATTGAGATTTTACTGCCAATGTTCCCATATATAAATATCATCATATCCCAATACCACCATCCAAATAATTCTGCAATCCATTATCTGATCATCCTTTCAAATTTTAAAGTATCTGAAGAATAAATTTTTTTCGAGACTGCAAATGTGAAGTATTTAAAATAATCATCCAAGAAATAAAAAGACAAAGATCTCCAGAAATTACAATAGAAATGGTATTTAATGTACCTTTTGACCAAAACTATATTTCAACCTTACATTTTAATCTATAGCCTCATTTATTATAGGCTCATAATCACCATCGCGGGGCTGTTAAAAGGAGTTTGGATGCGATATTTAGCGTTTTGTTATATTTTGTTATATCCAGTTAATTAATTATAAAAAAAAATCAGTTCCATAATACAGTATATAGTTCGATATGACAAGTTTTCTGTATAAACACTTTCGTAATATCCATGCTGATAATAATACATATAATATGTAGTATCTGCAATATAAAGTTAATAAAGTTCTACTATATTAACTTGAAAAATACATTTGTTTGATATACTGTATATATATATATCCAGTATATATATTGATACAATACTGTCAATGACATTATTAAAGATAAAAAGAAAATACAAAAGTATTTAAAAAGTACATAATGAAAAACATATAACTATCTAATTATCTAAGCTAAGTATTCATCTGAGTTGACCTATCTAATCTTTTCCCTCCATAAAACTAGAATTAAACTTAAATATTTATTATTATGCATTCAGTCTAAAGCCAATCACATTTTATCATGATTTCAAAAGAATAAAAGTAACCAAAGAATCAATTTTTTAAATAAACTCTGTTAAATCTGTTAAATATAGATCAGATCACCATCTTTCATATGATAAAGCCCTTTTCTGATCTAACATAAATATATAAAATCAAAATCAGGTATTTTATTAATTATATGCTGAATTTGACCATCATAAAGTGATACAAAATTATATAATTAGGCTAAAAGTTCTTAAATTATACTTAAAAAGTAATTTCATTATTTTTTTCATTATACTGATTAATATTAAAAGTAAAAAAAACTTTATCAATATAATCTGTATTCAAAGTTTTTTCAAAATCTCGTAACATTTAATTTGTAGTTATACAAAAAAGCAAGCATTTAAAAAATACAAATTATTAAAGAAATTTTGCTTGGTATTGATAATGATTTATTTGAAAATTTTGAGAAATATGTATTTAAAATAATGATATTTTAAAGGAAGCTATAAATAAAATCATACTAATATTATGAGTCAAAATTCAAAAGATCCTGCTATTTTTAATAATATATATCTATTAACTTATCACAAAAATTCAGTTAAATTAAAAGGTAAAAAAAGCAGCTGCAAAAAATAAGTTAAGGTTCTGCTAATATAACCAAATATTTCATTAATAATTCAATTTCTACTTCATTATTAAATGATCAGGTTAACAATATAGCTGATAATTTAATAAATTTTGATGAAATTATAGAAAGAAAGAATTTATCATTAGAGGAATTAAATATATTAATTAAAGATAAATCATTAATTTTTCAATTTAAGGATTGATTGTAACTTATTTAATTAGAGCTCCGAATCAGGTCAGGTCAACCTGTGACCCGACCCGACCCGACCTGAAAAATCCAGGTCAGGTAGACA